TAGAGTTTGGTTTGAAACCAAAGTTAGGCTTGGTAATTGATTTTTGGAGCCAAAAATTGAATCAAGTGGTGCACATGTGATCAAATGAAGGTGTATGATGAAATTTAATTTTTATGAAGTGGGGAATTATTTTTTGATAATCAAGGATATTTTTAAAATAAAATAAAATTAGAGCAAACAATTAACAAACTTGAAGATTGCTTCTTTTTTTTCGAAATTTCGCGTATGTAAATGATTTGCATGTCTGTGCAAATCAATTTGCACAGCAAAAAAAATTTAAATTTTAGTGTAAAAAAAGAATAGGGAAATTGATTTTCTCAGAGAAAAATCACTAGAAAGCTTTGCTGCTTGGATGCTTTGGTTGATACCTACAAAACACAAATATACTAAAACGAAGCAAATATTTTTGTTATTTTGATTAGAGGTTAGTCAATAACACATATACAAAATACACAACTAAGGTGCTTGACGGTCCCTTGAGAGAAAACTTAAAGATAGGGGAACGAACCCAAAGAGATAATCAACCTGAAAGTGTGATCTTGATGTATTGATGTTATGAGATGATGAGAGACCTTAGGAGAGAAAATTAGGGTATAACAGCTGCCCTTATTTAAGTGTTTCTATCCACAGGTCTCCCCATGCTCCTGGGGTTCTCAATTGCTCAAGACTACTCAAGGATCGATCAGACAAATCCTCCTCCGAAGTAGTTGACCTACAACTAGGGTTTTGCTTCTCTCGAGGAAAATTGGACTTCTAATGCCTCAAGTCGATTTCATGGTTTCTCAAATGTCTCAACAAATTCTCATGCCAAATTCCAAGCCTTGCAACACAAGTTTGCTTGGTCAATTAGTCAGATGATTAAAAATCAACTATATTGAGCAAAAAGTTAACTTTGACCAATTTACAGTCAAACTTCAAGATTTTTGGTCAACATCAACATTTTGAAGTCACATTCATCATTTTATCAAGGGTTGATCATGATTCATCAAGAAAACTCAAGATTCATCAAAAGTCATAAGTTACTAAATTAGGGGTTCTTTAAGGACAAGTCAAGTGAACTTTGACCAAGTGTAACTTTCACATACTTCATTAGAAATTTCTCAACCAAATATCATTTTGAAGGAAATTCAATTCTCTACAACTTTGTCTCTCTAAGATCAAGGCCAATAATGCTTCATTTGAGAGATATGAGCCAAAATATTACATGTCATTTTAAAAATCAACAAAAAGACACTTTTTATCAAAGCAAATTACATCAAGTTAAAGTCTTCAAATGAAAAAATGACCAACATGAATATTGTAGGGGACATATCGAGGTTTCCAAAAATTAAAAGATTATCTTCATATGATGAAAATTGAGTGAGATGCGATTTATGCAAGTTGGGAAATTTTGAGAAAATGCATAAAGTTCAATTTGAGCAAAGTTGAATTTTTGGACTAATGGACCTATCTTTTAAGGTCTAAACATGTTCATGACACCTTAGAGGACCTCTAAGTCCATTCATGCATCATTTTAATTTTAATTTCGTTTATTTTTATTTTTATTCATTTAAATTCAAAATTAAATCAAATAAATATTAAATAAATGTATAAGGCATAAAAGGCTTGTGATCTGAATCTTTTGGAGGCCCAAGGTCATGCTACAAACCGTGTAGGCCTATTTGTGAATCAAATATTCATGGTTTTGTAATATTTCGACCTATTTTCAAACAAAATCAAAGATATGTTTCACATGATTTCCAAGTCCACCTCTTAACCTAATCTTTTCTCTTATAAGTACACTACATATTCAGACCAAAAAGACAGAGGCAGGGCTGCTCAAGAAACAAGGGTTTTGAGGTTGGAATTTGAAAGGAAAAGGTTGAACTTGAAATCCAACTTTCAGCCATCCTCAAGGCTAGATGACCATTAAAATCAATCCTTGAGGTATCATAGAGTAAGTTCCAATCATTCTTGATGATCAAAGGTGCCTAAAACATGCATTCCAAACATCGCCGGTTTTACATATGTTGTGAAATTCACATTTTAATATTTATGAGGCTTTGATTTAAACTTACAGTTTCAATGTGTTCCTGAGACAAAATAGCACAGGTTTTATCCCTTGCATGAGGATCATGATGCCAGAATACTCCATCATCATTATTGCACCGTGTTGCTTTATTTTGATTGTATCTCATTGTACAGGTTGAATTAGCCAAAAAGAATACCACCATTAGATTTGCAAGGGTCAAATTAGGGGGATAAGGTCCTTCTTAATCTCTAACGCACGTTATTTTTGTAGGTTGAAGAATGACCTCACCGGAGAAGACGACCGGAGCCCTTGTTTATAATATATTTATTGGTTTGTCTTATATAAAAGAGTTGAAGCGCAACGCAGTTGGTTGAGACGGAGGCATGTAATGTGAAGGGAGTGGGTTCGATCCCTGCGTCTCACAATATTTTTTTGTTATTTTTCAAACTAACGCGTGGGTTTCATATATATTATTCAATTCCTATTTTCAAACACCAACAGGCGCTTGGCCTAGTGGAAAGCAATGCAGATCCTTGGGGCCAAGGGCGTGGGTTCAACACCCACCCCATGCAAATCCTTTTATCCTATTATTTTTAACTAATTTCCTTTCTTTTTATTTTCTAACCCTAATTATTTTAATTAATCAATCATTAAATTAACCTAATCTTTTTTCCTTAATACTAATAAATTAGAATTAAGGTTTTTAACTAATATTTAATTTTCTTGATATATATTTTTATTTACTAAATTAATTAATTAATCAACCGTTTTTTTCTTAAATATTAAAATCAATTAGAATTTAGGTTTTATTAATTATTGTCACTTAAGTTATTTTCCATAAAATACCAAAATATTAATACTTAGAACTTTAGGTCTTTTAAACTTTTTTTAAAGCATTGTCTTATTTCTTTTTAATTCATAGATCAAATGTATAGGAAGCACTCTCTATTGTAATTGCGTAGATTTATTTTCAGCATCTTTTTTTCTTATTATGTATCTGCTCCGAGGATGTAACAGCGTAGGACATTTATATTCTTGCACTTATATTTTTATGCTATGATTAGTAACTAAGGTTTGTATGACAAGACTAATAATTAAACCTAGAAAACCCTAATTTCAAGATAAAATAAATTAAAAACAAACACTCTTCACACTTGCACCTCTAGGGTATCCTCTCTCGTTGCCTTACGAAATATCGGTTACGTCCCTCGAAAGTGGGAATACTTTTGAAAAAGACCCTCGATCAAATCATCATGTCCCTTTCGAATAAAAATCATAATCCCTCGATGACCCTTCGAGTTGCCTACAAAATGATCTAGTCTCTTCGAGTTACCTACAAAATGATGATGGTCCATTCGATACAATTGCTAAAGTATCCTTGTTGCCTTTGATGACCAACTAATGGTATGGATAGTACTATCTCTAAAGGATAAGGAAAAGAATAAGAAAGACTTTAGTGGGTAAGAAACTCTTAATTGCTTTCTCACAACTTTTCTCAAAACTTTTTTTCACACTACACTTTCAAAAAAATATTTTCAAAAATAAGATTTTGTATACATTCTTGAGGACTGATACAAGAATCATTAAAAAGTCAGCCTTACATTGGCGATTTCAAAATATTTTCAACCAAATCACACACAAAGCAAGATTTTCAAAAGTGAGCTAAGGAATTAAGAGCCCGTAGATAACTACGGATGAAAAGGGTGTTAACACCTTCCCTTTTCATAACGTACCCCCCGAACTCAAAATTTATCAAAGGTCTTTCCTGTTCTTTTCACCTTTCCTAAATATTGGATAAAAGAAAAGCCAGTGAAAACTCTAGCTATCTGCATATTTAGATAAAACCAAAAAGTCAATTCTTCCACCGTATTACACACACAACCCCCCATTGAAAGCAATCTACCCTTCCATGTTGACAGTTTAGCTTTCAGGCCATTTAAAATTGGTTTCCATAATTCCATTGAAAAAATGGTTTTTGATTGGTTAGTTATTTTGAATTTTGATTTGACTAAATAGTATGATAAGACACAGAGCGGGGAGAGTCTTATAAAGTCTTCCTCCTCACATGGCCAGATATTGGCCACGTGTTGCTCGTCATGAAGGATGTGGAAGGAGTCTGATAAAATTTTCCTTATCACGTGATCAGCTATAAGCCACGTGTTGCTCGCAGATGGAGTATCTAGTGAGTTGCGTGAGTTTTAATATCTTTGTAGAATATTAATTAATTTAATTTATGAAAGAAGTTTAAATTAATGTGAATTAGAAAATAGAGTTAACTAAATAACTTAATAAAATATATTTTGGTATTATATATATATATATATATATATATATATATATATATATATATATATATATATATATATATATATATATATATATATATATATATATATATATATATATATATATATATATATATATATATATATATATATATATATATATATATATATATATATATATATATATATATATATATATATATATATATATATATATATATATATATTGTATTTTTTGGTGTTTCCTATTGTTTTTTGAATTCTTGATAATAAATAAATTATATAAATAATTTATAATAAGTGAATTGAACTAAAACCAGAGAGGGTGTTACTAGTAAATAGAAAGCTATAAAAAAGTATTTGGAAAGAATCAAGATAAAGCCCAATATAAAAACTAATTCATTCAAGGGATTAAATAACAAACTAAAAGAATTAAAAGAAAAATATAATGTGAGAGTGTCAGGAGCGCTACTTGGCCTCTTGTTTCACTGTTTAGAAACATACATATGAATTTTAACTTTTCCAAAGGTTTAAAGGCCAGCTAATTGCATCATGACATTTGGAATCTTTATTTTAGAATAAAAAATTAAACAAAAGATGAGAAAGCAGTAAAAGCAATCACCTGTTAAACAAAAGGGGCCAAGAGAACGACGCAGAGGCTTTCGTTTCTATTCTTCTCCCTTTTCCTCTTCTTCTACTTCAAATCAAAACACAGACAACATATGCAAACAAAAAAAAAAGAAGAAAAAAGCCATGAAATCGAAAAAAGAACTAACATGATGATGGCGCCAGAGAGGTAGATATCGGCGTCGTGATTGCAGATCGTGGCGGTTCTCGGGCGATTGACGGAATCCACGACGGGGTCTGCAACAGCGTTGATCGGAAGTGACCGGTGGTGGTAGTTCGGATGGGATTGGAGGAGATTTCATCGATTTCGATTTGCTCCAATCTTCATCTTTTCCTGGAAAAAAACTACAAATTATTGTTGATTTTATTTCACAGTTTTGTTGTTGTTAACTTTGGGGTGTTTGACAAGTATTAAAATTTGGTTTAAGTTGTATGGTGTTAAATGTTTATTTTTACATGAATGAAGATTTTGATTTCTTAATGTTAAACATGAAAAGAGATTGGATTAATGGATGAAAAAAATTGAAAAGTCAAATTGAAAAAAGACTATATTTTTTTTTATGCGTAAAAAAAAAAGTGTAAAAGAATGTATATGATTTTAATATGTACTTTACAATGGTTTGTGAGTGTATGTTAGAAAGTGAAAAATATGGACAGTGTCTATCCATATTTAAAAATTGGAAAAGAATAAGTTTGCATGTTGAATTTTGTGTATGTAAATTTATAGAAATTATATACAAAAAGTGGTGTGTGGTGTTTGTGAGAGTGAAAAAAAGGTTAGCAAAATTGTATGCGTTTGGACGTGGAGAGAGCTACGAGGGTTAGAATATAGACCCTCTAAATTATGAAAATAGGATCCTATTTATAGACCGACAAAAGCAAGTTAAATGGTAAAGAGAGAATAAAATAGATTAGATTTTTCTTGATCAGCAAGTTAAAAATATCTAAAGTGCACCAAGTGAGATTTGAAACATTGACTCTATGTTTCCAAGTTATGTTTCCTTACAAAATATGCTATGTTATTTATTTGAAATTAAAAACCAATTGAAACTATATAAAGACGAGCAATTATTTGCTATTTAAAAATATAAATAATTTAAAAAAATTATTATAGTTTTAAATAAATTTGAAAACGAATATTTATAAAATCCAAAATGTTAGTGTAATCCAAAACAATTTTATAAAACTCCAAGTTTAAAAATAATTTTGACCGTAGCACCAAGGCGAGCAAATTTGGGATATGACATCACCAAAACACCGTCCAAAATTTGTCTTCTCGGAATGAATGTTGTTTGTTTATTGGATATAATCTTCACAATTACCCTTCTAAGCCCTGAGGCAAGTAGTTTCAATATCACTTTATACATACATCCAATCAAACAAATTGGGTGATATTTCTCCAAACCTTGTGGGTTTTCAACCTTAGGAATCAGCGCTAGAAAAGAAGAGGTCATAGCTTTTGGAAAATTCGCAAGGTGATGAAACTCTTGAATAAACTCAATAAAATCTTGTTCAACCACACTCTAACATTTCTTGATGAATTCCAAGTTAAATTCGTCTAGACCGGGACTTCTATCCCCCTTACAATCAAATACAACTTCTTCAATCTCCTCCTTTGAAAACAACACTTCAAGTTCTTCACTATCCTGACTTGATAAGCTTTTGAAATTCAATCTGTCAAGATGCGGGCGCTGTTCCAGCTACTCCAAAAATCTTCTAGCAAAGTGATTTTTAATTGCTAATTTTACATCATCCACGTTGTCAATCACCCCGTCAGCTGTATGTATTGCTACAATTGCATTCTTTCGGAATCTTGCTTCCAATGATGAATGGATAAATTTTGAGTTTAAATCCCCATCTCGGACCTATATTTGCCTTGATTTTTGTTTAATCATACTTTCTTTCAAGTGAAGCTTTTTCCAAATAGACTCAGACACTCCTTTTCTTTTTTCTTGAGTTTAAAAGATAACAAGTTTCTGGCATTCAGCATATCTAATTCTAACCCATTTAACACCTCCACATCCTCCTCCACTTTTAAATCAATCCAACCAAAAACATTTGTGTTCCACCATTGCAATCTCTCTTGCATCCTCTTAAGCTTTTCCTTGAAAACATAATATTTCTTGCCCCTAATCTCAAAATATTCCCATTCTTTCTTTACAAACGCCATAAATTCAGGATGATCATACCATGCCCTAAAAACCTTAAAAGGTTTGGGTCCCCAATTGAGGTTGTTTTACAATATTCACACATGCCTGTGATCTGAAATGTCGCAATTTCCAGAGGTTTGATCAGTGTATTTTGATACACATCCTTCCACGATTGTACTAATGCATTTCTTTAGTTTATTGTGTTTATTTTTATGTTTTAATATGTTTTGCTAATTTATTTTATTTTTGCATTTAATTAATTTTCGTATTTTATTTTCAGCAACTGCAGCTTTCGCGGAAAAATTCATAACTAATTCTACAAAAATCGGATCGAGGCGTTTGACCATGCGTTGGAAAGCTAAGAAAATGGCCTACAACTTTCTAGTTTTGGCCAGAAGCTGATTCGAAGTGAAGAAAGATTGAAAAAGTCGTTGAAGTTGCAGCTTTAGACTTTTAAGTTTTTGGTTAGTAGTTTTGAGTCTGGGTTATGTTTTCAACCCAGTTGGTTTGTAAACCGAATGGATTGTTCCTCTTTAACCTGGGGGCAGCCGCATAAGGGGATTTTTTATCATGTTTTTACGTAGACAAAGGGAGAAAACAATTGTGTACGAATGGGAATGGAGAACTAATCCGTTAGAGTTAATCTGCTGTAACTTGGTTTCTAAAACTTGAGGTTAATATAATTTACAATTCAATTTCTATTCATATCAATTTTGCCTTTTATATTCGTTTGCTTAATTCGAATTATCTTAGAGTAATCTTGTTGGTTCGATTGAATTATGTTTCCCAATTATAATTGCGTTATATCGTATGCTTAATTCGTTATTCCGTTTGTTGATTAACCGTTTGCTTAATTCGGTGAAAAGGGAACATAATTCTTATTTTTTTTTCATTCTCGCTTGTTGGATGAAATTGTGATCGAATTTGAATAGGAATCCGCTTAGGGAAGTTAAATTGTTTTAATCGATGATAGTAGGAACCCGAAACAGTAGATCGACTTATTTCATAATCACTTATTTTAAGCGCTTATTATTTTATTTTTTTATAAATCGTCCTTAAAACCCAACGACCCCCCCAATTCGATTTCTGTTGTTTAATAAAATCAAAAATCCTTGTGAGAACGATATCCAAGTTACAGTTGTCGTTAAATACTATAGTTTTGAAACTGTTTCGCAAAAACACTCGTTTTGATCCGCACGCGACAACAGATCAAATTGGCGCTGTTGCCGGGGATTCTTGGTATTATTAGTTGTTTTTAGAGTCATAGGGTCAGTTTCTTTGAGTCTAGGTGTTAGTTTCATCGCGATTTCGTCCAATTCGCGTTGTAGAGTCGAAATAGTAAAAAATCGGATTTTGGGTAAATCACATCCGATTAGAATTCTGCCTTGACCATCCCTTGCGAAAAAATTCTCCACTCATTTGTCTCATACTACGGAGTAGTTACGGGACTTTGGTCTCAATTTCCCAAATTCATCATTTTCCTATTTTTTATGATTTATTTACTGTTTTCATAGAGTCGGAAAAAATCAAAAAAATTATCAAAATTCTATTTTTCGCCCATTAGAAGAATTTCGTGTTCAGTTTATTTTTTTGAAAAAAATTTAATCATTTTCCTTCTTTGTGTTTGTTTTTGCTTTTAGAGACATTGTTGGTATTTTGGGCTTTGTTACCGTTGCTGCGTTTTAGTCCTGGCTACTAGGTCCTGCTGTCCTGAGCTTGTTGCTTTTGATCCTGAAGTAGAAAGAACATTGCACACACAATGTAGGAGAGTCCAAGTTTACACTAGTCCACCACCCATAATTGAGTTTGAGTCTGAGGCTGATTCTGATTACTTGCACTATCTGTTTGATTCTGATTCTGAAGTTGTTATTGATATGGCTGACCAAAGAACCTTAAGGCAATTGGCTGCCCCTGATATAAATTATAATGGCATGTGTATTGATTATGATGATGTTGCTGCTCCTTTTGAATTAAAATCGGGTTTAATACACTTGTTGCCCAAGTTTAGTGGTCTTGCAGGTGAGGATCCGCACAAACATTTGAAAGAGTTTCAGGTTGTATGCTCTACACCATCAAAGCCTGAAGGGATCACTGAAGATCACATCAAACTTCGAGCTTTTCCTTTTTCATTGCAGGGTGCAGCAAAGGATTGGTTGTACTACCTCGAGCCAAATTCAATTGCAAGCTGGAATGCGCTGAAAAAGGTGTTTTTGGAGCGATATTTTCCTGCCTCTAGAGCTACCTCAATACGAAAGGAAATTTGCGGTATCAGACAAGGTAATGAGTCACTCACTGAGTATTAGGAGAGGTTCAAGCACTTGGTATCCATCTTTCCTCAACATCAGATCACCGAGCAATTACTCATCCAGTACTTTTATGAGGGGTTGATACCGATGGACCGAAACATTCTTGATGTTGCTAGTGGTGGAGCACTTGTTGATAAAACTCCAGCTGCTGCCAAAGCTCTAATAGAGAATATGTCTCTTAATTCTCAGCAATTTTTCAATAGAGACAATTCTGCACAAAGCAAAAGAGTGAATTAAATTCAAGCTTCTTCTTCCAACAAAGCTTTAGAGACCAGAATTGATGAGCTCACGGCATTAGTCAAACAACTAGCAGTAGCAAAAACTCAAACATCAACTCTGTGTGGTATTTGTACTTCCCTTGAGCACCCGAATGATACATGTCCCATTCTGAGAGATGAATCTATCACTGAGCTGCCCCAAGCTTATGCAGCCAACCTTTACAACCAAAACAAGTACAACAACATTCCTGACCTGTCCACCAACAAATATCATCCGAATTGGAGGAATCATCCCAACCTTCGATATGGAAATCCACAAACCAGCCAACAACAGAACTCACCTCAACCGGCTGCCCCTGCACCTTCTGGACCGTCCTTAGAGGATCTTGTTAAACAAATGGCCGTTAACAACCTTCAGTTCCAACAAAGGACCGATTCTAGCATTCAAACCTTGCACACATAGATGGGACAGCTTGCTACTCAAATGAATGCAATGCAATCCCAAGGGTCGAACTAACTTCCAGCCCAAACTGTTGCCAATCCGAATGGTGGTCCTAATGCCAATGTTAGCGCAATCTCTTTGCGATCTTGAAAGGTAGCAGGAACAGCCCCTGAGAAAAATATTGAG